AAACTTTCAGCTCATACAAGGAGAAGACTGATCAGAGATGCAGCCAAGAGGCCCATGATCACTCTGGATGAACTGCAGCGATCTACAGCTGAGGTGGGAGACTCTGTCCATAGGACAACAATCAGTCGTATACTGCACAAATCTGGCCTTTATGGAAGAGTGGCAAGAAGAAAGCCATTTCTTAAAGATATCCATAAAAAGTGTCGTTTAAAGTTTGCCACAAGCCACCTGGGAGACACACCAAACATGTGGAAGAAGGTGCTCTGGTCAGATGAAACCAAAATCGAACTTTTTGGCAACAATGCAAAACGTTATGTTTGGCGTAAAAGCAACACAGCTCATCACCCTGAACACACCATCCCCATTGTCAAACATGGTGGTGGCAGCATCGTGGTTTGGGCCTGCTTTTCTTCAGCAGGGACAGGGAAGATGGTTAAAATTGATGGGAAGATGGATGGAGCCAAATACAGGACCATTCTGGAAGGAAACCTGATGGAGTCTGCAAAAGACCTGAGACTGGGACGGAGATTTGTCTTCCAACAAGACAATGATCCAAAACATAAAGCAAAATCTACAATGGAATGGTTCACAAATAAACATATCCAGGTGTTAGAATGGCCAAGTCAAAGTCCAGACCTGAATCCAATCGAGAATCTGTGGAAAGAACTGAAAACTGCTGTTCACAAATGCTCTCCATCCAACCTCACTGAGCTTGAGCTGTTTTGCAAGGAGGAATGGGCAAAAATTTCCGTCTCTCGATGTGCAAAACTGATAGAGACATACCCCAAGCGACTTACAGCTGTAATCGCAGCAAAAGGTGGCGCTACAAAGTATTAACTTAAGGGGGCTGAATAATTTTGCACGCCCAGTTTTTCAGTTTTTTATTTGTTAAAAAAGTTTGACATATCCAATAAATTTCGTTCCACTTCATGATTGTGTCCCACTTGTTGTTGATTCTTCGCAAAAAATTACAGTTTTATATCTTTATGTTTGAAGCCTGAAATGTGGCAAAAGGTCGCAAAGTTCAAGGGGGCCGAATACTTTCGCAAGGCACTGTAAATACATACACACATACATACACACACACACAGACACACACACACACATAAAAACACAGACACACATACATACACACACACACCACCAAAATAACCTAGGTTACATATGTATTATACCAAAACCTGGTTACAGACAAGTTAGCTCATGTACTGTAGGCCTAATGAGACTGGTCCATCCGAGAAAAGATTCCATGTACCTTTGGAGTCTTACTCAGACAGCTCTGCTGTGAGCTGTATGTATAGGGTTTTTTCATTCCTTTTCTGGTTTGCACATTCTTTTTCTTGTTCTTTCATTTTATTGTTTCCTCCCATATGGGAGCACACTGCACATGCATTAGAGCCACTGATAACAGATTTGTTTTAACCAGTAGTCGAGCACAATTCCCAGCTCTAGTTGTTTCAGACCACAGCATAGCACTGAATACAGTCATCCTGTCCTGCGTCAATATTACTCTGACATCTCAGGTAGTTATTTTAAAGTGTCTGTGGTATGCTTACAATGTTACAATGTGAACTGTCATCTTAAATGTGACAAAGCTCAAAAAGTGGTGTACATACAGTATGTTCTAGTACTTTTGTGCAGAAGCAACTTGGTTTATACACGTCTTGCAAACTCTCACTCATGAGACTTTTTTTCCCAGCAATATAAATCCAATCTAATCTCCAGGCAGTTGTACATTCATGTGAGCTTGCCTGACGTCCACCGGTGCCATTGTAAAAACAGAATTTTTCAAATGTTTTCAGTTTTACCTCCTTCTGCTGCACTGTGACCAGAGGAAGTGCAGAAAAATGCAGGGCCTGAAGTTACTGCATGTCTGGGAATGTTCCTATACAGGGACTCACTGTTTTACCTGACCAGGTCTAACCTACAAGCAGCCGACCAGTGAAGCCCCCGCGGAGGTGAATGATCAGCTCATCAACACTGGATTCCCCTGGAGCACAGTACCTGTTTGTTTTGACTGCTTGTGAACAATGTCTGCCACATGATGAACCGCAGACATTTGCAGATTCTACCACGGGAGTCTGAGGCAGATCAGTCTACAGACCCAGAGACTCAGCCAGGGTTAGAGGAGAAATGTGAACATGTACCGAGCATGCCTGATCAACAACAGAAGCAGACCCCAAGAACTCAGACTATTACAAGAGCTGGAAGAGTGTGCAAACCAGTAAAAAGGTTGAATCTGTAGAAAAGAAGGTATAAGTACATCTGATCATTACTTGAGTGTTTCAGTATGCTGTTCAGATACAATGTACCACTTTTGGTCCTTATTAGAGAAAAAAAGGCTTTATATGGAATAGACAATAATGCAGCATGAGATGTGTAATATGCTGAGTTAGAGTTTTACAGCGGGTCATCATGGGGTGTATGAAGAAAAAATAAAAGATTGTGAAAGAAAGAAAATAACAGAAGGGGGTTGTTCTGTGTTATAGTTAAGTTAGAGTGAAAAGGGGGAGGTGTCAAGGAAGTATGCAATAGAGAGGGATGTCATGTATCATTGAGGATCTTTGTGAGTGAGGGGGAGGAGAGCTTCGTTACTGTTCGTGTTGTTTGTTAATAAAAAACCAAGTAAGAGAAAAGACGGAGGGGTACTTCATTACTTGACATGGTGTCAGAAGGTGGTTTAGCATCCAGTGTGACGAGTTGGTTGACAGCACCAGCACAGCTCAGCTGATGATATTCGTCTGAATGGTGTTTAATGATTTTTCTACAAAAGAAGAACTGCCGACACTTCTGCCCCTGAAGACAACAATGAGGGGAATTGACATCTACAACACGGTGAAAAGCTACTTTGTGGACAAAAAGTGCCATTAGAGAAGCTTGTGTCGGTGACAACATACAGGGCTCCTGCCATCACGGGCTGTCATGCAGGCTTCATTGCGCAATGCAGAGGTGATCCTGATTTCCCAAAATTTCTACACTACCACTGCATCATTCACCAGCAGGTGAAAAGTGGCTGGCTTTGATCATGTGATGACTCCTATCGTGAAGATCATAAATGGCATCCACTCCAAAGCCAAACACAGGATATTCAAGGTGCTATTGGAGGAGCTGTCAGCTGAATATGGTGACCTGTTACTACACACAGAAATCCGATGGCTCAGTAGGGACGAATTCTGCAGCGTTTTTCGTCACTTCTGGGTGAAATCAAAGAGTTCATGCAGTCCAAGGGGGAAGACGCCTCGCTGCTACAGGACACGAAGTGGATACTTGACCTCATGTTTTTAAGGGATATCACTGGGAAATTGAACCATTTGAACTGTGAGCTGCAAGGCAAAGGTAAAACTGTCGCTCACATGATAAGTGCAGTAAACGCATTTAAAGCTAAGATGAACATTTTCTCCTGCATTTACAGAGAAACAAATTGCTGCACTTTCCCTCTTTGCAGGTTGTGTTGAATAACAATGCTTCTGCATCTGCAGCTTTTGACAAAGCTGTAGAAAAGTACTCCGAAGTCATAAACAGACTAGGACAGGAATTTGAGGACAGGTTTTGTGACTTTGATCAACTTGAGCCATGTGTGTCGTTCCTTACAAATCCTTTCATGCAAGTGGACATGACATGCACTGCTGAGCAACTAAGTGCTCTGTTCAACTTGGATGCCGGACAGGTAGAGATAGAAATCCTAACATTGCAAAATGACCTCCACCTTAAAGCCCATCAGTCTGCACCAAACTTTTGGTGCCTTGTGGACACAGAAATGTACAGTGGTGTATGCACAGCATCTATGAAAGTTCCCTGCATTTTTGGTTCAACCTATCTCTGTGAATCAGCTTTTTCTGACATGAACTTTATCAAGAACAAACACAGAACACGCCTTACTGATGCATATTTGGAAGCCTCACTCAGAGTTGCGGTGTCAAATTATTCACCATATTACAGTACACTGGTGAGCAGAATGCAGTGCCAGGCTTCCCATTAACAGACATTTACAGACAAAGAAAAGAGAGAACATGTTTTCATTGAAAACACCATAACATTAAACTGAAAATGTTGCACAAAAATATGAATTGTTCAAAAAAAGACTTGATAACTTGTGACTTGATTAATGATTTCCTTGGTGAGAAGTGATAATTTGTACTAAAATATAGCAGGTGTGGCCCCTGACTTTCAAATGTTGGAACAGGTAAACATAAATAAATGTTGCATGTTTGAATATATGTGTTTCCTACCATTATTGTTGTGTAAATCATTGTTAATAATTGTGGGGAATAATTAACACTGACATGTGAACAGTCTCTTCTCATAGTATTATTATTATTATTATTATTACTACTTCTCTTATTGTTATTATTACTATTATTATTATTAAAAAGTGATCCATGCAATTTTGTTATTCAGGAAATTTGTATCAAACAGGTAGCCCTTCGTACTACTCAGTTCCCTTGAATTAGCCCTCAGTCTCAAAAAGGTTGGTGACCCCTGGTATAGAATTATTGTAAGGCTGGAAAGGTTACTATGTCTGCATTATGCCAGTTAAAATATGGGGTTTCTCAATTACCCACTTTGTTTAGAGTGTAATAAATCTCTTTTCATCAGTACATATACCATTCTTTACCTATCTATGGAGGTGAAATTCAAATTAATTAATACCATTGTGGTTTGTGGTGCTATCCACGTTCATATTGTTTCGAACATGTCAGGTATTATGTGAGTTGTCATTGTCAAAAACGTAGTATATGTACAGTATCAGTGTTTTTTGGTTATGTTTTGTCTCGTCTTTCTGACCAGTCTTGTATCGAAAAGTGTTCTCTTGTCGAGATGTTTCCCCTGTTCAAAACTCAGTTTCATCATGTAACGGTTTCCCCCTCAGCCGTTGTGGTCAGGATAATATTGGGATTCAGGTTAGGGGAAACATCTCAATGGGGAAACACATTTCAACACAACACCGGCAGCTGGAGTTCTGCGTGTTCACAAACTATCCTCTCATTTTTAGGAAGAGGCTCTCGGGTTTTATCCTTCTGAAATAGAGACTATTTAGAGTTATGAGTCCACAGCTAATCTAGAGGTACCCAAAATTAAACAATAAATGGCTGGGAAAGAGCATGCCATGGGCTCTTTAACTGCTTTTATAGCTTACGTGCATGTAATCTAGGTGTTCCCAAGGTCTTCGCCCATAACAATGACTGATGGTATCTCAAGAATCTGTTCTGGGTTTTGGTCTTCCTTTTCCCTTTTTATACACATTTGGCAAAATCTTGTGAGGGAACCTGATTTTTATTGTTTACGAATCCTAAAGCCATTAGCCCCATCCACATTTCTGATGCACCTAAAATATAATTTCCATTTAATACGGAGCACAGAATTTAGAAGAATAATATTCTTCTGCCCCCCCCAAACCGCTATAATGCAGAAGTAATACAGTATACAGGTAAGTTAATAAAACAGTGTGGGTGATGATCCAGCGCAGACACACTCAGTTCATATTTCATTGTAATTGTGACAACTTACAATAAATTACAATATATTTCCATTCATATCAGCTAAAATACAATAAATTATAAAGACATTAAATTACATCACTGATAAATAAAAGGATAAGACTTCAGCGGTGAGTGAATCACCACTTTCAGTCACACTAAATGATCTTTACTGTCACAATCATTCTACTGACTGGTACTGTTGTGCAGTGGATGTGATGAACAGATATGCATGTGTGAGTCTGTATTGTGTATACAATGTTTTTTAAGAACCATGGCAGCAGTTGTCATGTTTTCAGTGAGAGTTACTCAAACAGTATAATCCAAGGTAATGTCCTGGCCATGTGTGTGTCTGTGAGTGTGCTGTCCTGACTCTCCACAGTTGTTTTCTCAGAAGCCTTGTATATGGCAATATGCCTCCAAGCTGGCAAAGAGGATGTAGAGGAACCAGAGTCCAAAGAAAAGCAGTGAAGTGAGGACTCTGGGGATCCGTGGACCTCCCAGTTCACCGCCTATGGACGGCCTCCGCCGTAGCATCAACACTCCCATACTGAAGAAGGCAAAAATAGTGAAGAGCGTGACAGAGAAGGCCAGCGAGCCAGGGTCCACATGGAAAACCTTACCTTTGACTTCCCAGTATATGGCAGCCACAGACCAGGCTACCCCAATACCCAAAAACACATTAACTGAATTGCTTCCAGTCACGTTTCCCACACATGCATCTGCATACTGGTCCTGAGTGGCAGCCACTTTACTGGCAAAGGTATCTGTAGAAAAAAAGCATGAAGTTAGTGATGTTTCTGTGCTTATTATCCTGACTAAGACTTGGGTGACTTAAAGACCTAATTTGCTGACTTTAACATTGCCATTACTGGGTGTGCCACCTAGAAGGTTCACTCATAAAATCACTCACCAGGAAGAGAAGTTCCCAGTGCTACAAAGACCACAGCAGTGACGGTGTCTTTCAGGCCTATGGTGCAGCCAAAATGAGAGGCTAGGTCTCCAATAATGGCTGTTAAGGCACCAATGACAGAGATTGACACTATGAAGCATGCCCAGCCATTCCAGTAGTCAGTGGGTGGGACACAAGCAAACAAAATCTTCCAAAAAATGCACAGTATGTGCATGAAGTAGTCAAAGCATTTTGGGGTTTGCTGCCCCTGTCCCTCCTCCTCATCTCCATTACCTGTTTAAAGAAGACAAGGTGAAGGCAACTCAAACAAGGCAGCAAAAGGTGTGTCATCAATCATACATTACACAACAGCATTTTTTAAGAGACAAGCTTGTAGTGTCCAATTAATCTGTAAACAAGAACCAAGAAGGTGCTTATTCACCTTCTGGTGTGAAGTTAGATGAGAAGGTCAATACCACTCTCATATCTGTATGGTAAATACAAAGCTATAGCCCACAGTGGTGCATAAAACAACAACTTGACATTTATACACATCAGTTTCTAAACTAACCAGCCAACCAGTTGCTGAAAACAAAATGATGATCTATTCCTTTAAACTGGCAAAGCGCACGCTTCTCATGAATACCAAGCTAACAGGGCTAGGAGCGATCTGGAAGAAATACTCAGAAGAAATATCCTTTCTCAGTTTATTGCTACTAACATTACCCATATTGTGAAAATTGCTCCTGTTCACAGTCTGAGATATGCTAACCAGCCACTTTATTAGGTACACCTGTAAAATTGTATGCACTTCAATGCAACACTTGGTCACAAACAGTTTGAATGATTTCTGGGAAATTTGTGTATCCACAGGCAAAACAAAATCATAACTGAGAAAGACCCCATAAAAACTATGCCTCTGCTCACCACTGTTTCTTATTGGAACTAAATCTTCTGCCAAGACTGCAATAAATACTTCACAAAAAAAAAACAAGTAAGAACCACTAACCTGCACTGACCGTGACTGCTTCACTGAACTGCTCTCTCCACGAGTGAGTGCCAATCACTACGGCCAGATTTGTATCCTTCAGGAGTTTGTCCACAGTTCTCTGTTACAACACATTAAATGGGTCACAAATGATCAAACCCTCAAAGGTTTAGGTGATGCAGGCTAGGCTGCAATATCCAGAGCAAATAAGGCAGATATGAATATGGTGCATATTATATACTGTACATACAAAATCTCTGGCTTTTCTGCAGAATTGGAATTCAGTTTACACTAGAAATAACTGAACCAAACACTGCTCACACAGCACATACTGATACACACACACACACAGCCCCAGTGCATGTCAAAACAAAATGCACACAATACATGAGAAAAGTTGAGAATTAGGACAAGGTAGATGTCAAAGTGCAGTATTTTTTGCAGTCACTGTGGTATAATGAGAGTTTATAAAAAAACAAGATGAGAAGTCTTATTTAATCAGACCCATCAACACAACATATCAACTGTACCTGGTCTAGTATTCCATTGAGAGTCTGATGTGGGAGAGGGAACCACAGAGTTAAGATAAGATAAGATCTTTTTATTGTCATTGTAGGAATTACAACAAAATGTGCTTGGCAGCTCTCATAGTCCAGTAGCCAGTAAGAATACAAGTTAGATAAAAATTGAGGAAAAAGGTGTTAATGAACTAAAACACATATACTTCAATTTTTCCACACAACAACTGAAACCTCTGTGAAGCTTTGATTTGTGAAAGCTTTATGAAGGAAATACCACTCAAATTTCCAGAATTTACATGGTGTATTCTAACTCCTCTGCTGCACATGCTCACTCAATGTTCTTTTAAAAACAGTGATGAGAATAAATAAAAGCTTTGGTTCACATTTTTTAATGAACTTAATGTAAAACATACTTGTCTGTCCCATGTATTCAGTGATGTATTTGTATAAAGTACAAGTTTCCTGTTAGTGTAATTCCTTGAATTAGCCACTCACACAGGACTCCTCTATGATGACCTCTATCCTGCTGTGCTCTCCTAGAATGGGTTTACCCATCTCAGAGATCCTCCTGGCCTCTTCCTCCTCAGGGGTAGGGGTTCCTGTCAGGGAGATAGATGAATGATCTCATATGTATATAAATTATTGTCTCATTTGAAACACACACACACACACACACACACACACACACACACACACACACACACACACACACACCCTAAACCACAGAAAAAGGCACAGGCCCATATCTAAAGCATTAACATTAAAGCCCTCTGCACACACTTTCATTTCTTTAAAGGTGGTGTGTGTAGCATCCATAATTTGATTTATTTCCTGTTGAAATAGGTTGTTGAGGGTGATAAACAGGCTGAGAAAAAGCACTGTCTGAATTTCTTTTCAGAAAATAAGGGATGATCATGGATAATTTAAAACTGTAAAGTCAAGTTAAAGATAGGACTGCCCTGCTTCCAGGGCAGCTTCACACCCCCACCAGATTTTACACTGCTACTGTTGCCAACAGTAGGTGCCAGCCCTAGCAGCACCTAGCCCCCACTATCAGCTTTAGGACTCATCGTCATAGATCACAGCCCTAAAAGAGGCACCAAAAAGAAGCAAGTCTTCAGAGTTTCTGACAATGAAAAGACATTGAAGTCATGAACGACCGAATCTGTATTTATGCTCTTCTGTAAAACAAATACATGCACAATGCCAGGGAGTGTCAATGGACAGCAGCAAAATCATTTTTGCAGCAGGAGGTAATGGCCAAGAGAGCCACTGAGCTCAAGGAAGTAATGGGTTGTATGGGTATTTAGACACCCAGCTTTACTGCTAATAGTGTGCAATTTCACAATGATATGTTGGTATCTAAACATGCTGCACATTGCACCTTTAATACTCAAACCATCAAACTACCTTACCCTGGTTTAGCAGCAGTGCTGTGAAGATAGAGAGACAATTATTCAATGCCACAGAATAACACCAGTTTCAGAGTGACATTGCATTATCTAAAATGCAACAGGAAAGAAAACACTCTCTACACACTTGGCATCCACAGAGCACTCTCACTGTTCGCCTTCATTTTAACTTTTACCTAATGAAGTAAACTACTGTTCATTGAAAATTGATTCTTTTAACATCCACTAACAAGCAGCATTTAACCTCCCATTACTGGCTTTAACATAACTGCCAAACTTTCAGCTGCCTGTGCTACTGTTATTGTCTTGATACTCTTTGAAATTGCTGCAAACTTGGAGTGAACTAATTTATGTTAGTGTAAATGAGAAACCTTTGTCTTTGACTATCATCATTGCATTGCTTTGTTAAAATAATCATGAAACCACAAGTTGCCTAGACATTAAAATTTAAAATGCTTACACACTCACCAGAGAGTCCTCGCTTCAGCCATTTGGGGTCCTCAAGCACAATGAAGAAGTTTTCCTGCTTCTCGTACTCTTCCACATTTATAATGGGCACTTGTAACATCTTACTGGAGATATGTACACACACACACACAAAACACACGCTTATTTCTATAACAAACAAAGTGTTATTAAATTCAATTAACAAGCCTCCATATCTTAAAATGTGCTTTATCATGTAAATCACATAGCTAATTGAAGTGACCTAAATAATTCATCACAATGAAACTGTAAATAATTCAGGCCTAAACATAGTGAGCTCTTGCTCCTTAGTATGCCAAACAAATAGCGCTTAAGTAAGTGACTTAACTTGCTGACAACTCAGAAGTATACAGATAAATACTACATAATGGTCACAGAGGAAACAGAAGGACAGGCCCACCATTGATTGGCCTTGTCACATAACAGAGATTGTCACTAAGTGCACAATTAGTCCATGTGCAAACAGTTCATGCAATCTGAAAATTTAATGTGAAAAGTATCTGTTAACTTACATGGGGTGACTGGAGGTTCCCACACCTGATCGGGCACAGGATTATCTTTGGGAGTCAAGTCATCAAGTAATTCTGCCTAAAAGGACTCCTCCACTTGGAGTGGGTGGCATATAGCCCAGGTACACTTGTTAAAAGCACTAATGAACCAAAGCAGTATAAATATAGAGCACTGAGGGTGCTGTGGTTCAGAACTATTGATTTGAAAAAGAGGACAACAGTCTTTTTGATCACTGGGTTCTGAGTAATTATGCCAAGACTTTAGAAACAATTGCTCCGTTGTCCATTAAAAACATATTGTAAAAAAGCCATAATGCACTGGTTCACATGTCCCTTTACTACCAAGACCCCACCCACTGTAGTTTATTTTGAGTTAATTCAATAATAACGGTCCTGCTGCCATGCAGCATATCTGTGGCTGAAAAACAGTCCCCAAAAGTGAACCATTTGCTCCTATTTCAGGAACATTTTGCCTTGTTGTTGTGGGAAACCATTTAGCCTTTGTATGTATTTGTGACCCATTTTCAGAGGCTTATGTCTTTGGTAAGAGTCAATGGGCTTGAGTACAAAATACAGGGTACAGAAGTCAGAACATATTGGCATGTTATGGTCTTTTATGGGATTTATTAAAAATACAAACATAGAGAATATTGCAAGCCTTGTCCTTCAAAACAGACTTGTTTGAATTACATTTTTTTTTTTTTTTTTTTTTTTTTATAATGAAGTCTTGTTTTAAGGTATAGCATGTTAAGGAGCAGGAAAATGCAACCTTAAGACACAAAAAGTAAGTCACTGTCTCCTCCCTGGAAAACAATAGACTGAAAAGACTTTGTGGCTCCTACATTCTTACTGTATTTGCCAGTCAGCGCCTCACCTGGTCTGTTCATTAGTGAATTCCAGCTCCCCTCGGGTCTCCTCGTAGTCCACCCCAGCCTTGGCACTGCCATCCTCTGTATGGTATGGCACAGCAACCGTGCCCCTGGAGCCTGAATTCCTCACCACACTCACTGTCAGGGTGCCTGTGCTCTCACTCACCCGAAGCACCCGCTGATCAAAGGTGAAGATGCCAGCGTGGTCATCATCCAAAATAGTGATGGTGGCAACCAGTGGCTCCACTAGTCTACCTGTGGGCGGAGTTCCTGTCCCTTCATTTCCACCTTCCTCTAACCTCAGGTTATGAAGACGCACAAAAAAATGCTCATCCTCCTCAAAGATGTCATCATCCAAAATACCAACCTGAAGAATACAAATTGTTGTATGATTAAACATTACACCCCTTATGAATCCATGAGACATTAACAGTTTTAATACAGACACTTGAAACTCACTACAATAAAACTGCCAAAGTGGGTGACTCTGGGGTCCCACTGATATCAATCCCTGACTGCTCTCTCCACTGAGCCTGAAATAATGTAAACTTTCTGGGCAGTCCACCACACCAAGAGAACTTTGTATTAAACTATCTTTGCAATGTCACTTGGTATATTTTAGGCTTGTTTTTCTCCCTCACTTTGAAAGACAACAGTGAAGATAAACAGGAAACACACAAAATGAAATATAATAAACTCAACTTTCTTACATAGCATTTGAAATTGATAGCAACAACATTAATTAAGATGACTATTTCTCTCAGTCTCTTTTCTTGCTCACCTTGATCTCTTTGTGGGTTTCTCCTGGCTTAAACACCAGGGTTCCCTCAGTGAATTCATAGTCCTCCCCAGCACTGGCGGAGCCATTTTCTGTACAGTAGTCTACATAAAAAGTGTTCTGACCTGTGCCCCCATCAAGTATCACCCCAAGGCTGAGAGAACCACAGTTCTCAATGCACTGGTACTGGGCACTTTCAAAACAAATGTGCGAGCATGTGGCCTTGTCAGCCTCCTGGCCTTGTGAGCAGCGTGTGTGCTCAGCAGCATGTTTCTTTAATATGTTGCCAGCACCGATCATCATGCGTGTGGCCTGGACACGGTAGAAGGCTCGGCTCTTCTTCATGTGGACCAAGGAAGAGTAGCTGGCCATCTCAATCAACTCGTCCAGGTCTTTGTTGGGATGTTTCTCCTTCAGGTCTTTCAGGATAGAAACCACCTATGTAAGAGTGGAAAATAGTTGTAAAGTAATGCACTGTATCCATAGAGAGGTACTTTTTCCACATGGTCTGTAAAACATTCCCATTAAAACACAAACTGCTCCAGAGCTTGCTCAGTGGTGCCCTTTACACCGGAAGTTTTACATTGTGACTACAGTATGTGTGTGCAGTAGGGTCCTACAGAGGTTTGGTTGCTGAATGATAAACAGCAGCTCAGTTTCAAAAGTACTGTGTGGTGTTTCTTGGGACAAAACCTTACAGACTAATGTAGGGATCTTTATTATGAAAAACTTTGGGAACT